TATCGTGTGTGCCTACTGTCCTGCGCCACCCAGGACTGGTGGGACGAGGCTGGAAAGGGCCCGGGGAGCGAGGGGCACCCCCGCGGCATGTGTCACCCGAAAGCCCTGCCGGGAGTCACCCCAAGTTGCTGAACGATCTTAAATTAAAACACAATTCCCTCTTCCACGGCCGTGCTTCGCAGGTTGCAAAAACGTCAGAGTCCATCGGCGCTGTTACGGCTCCGCGCTGGGGATACGTCCTTGGAAAAATAAAACCTCTAATAGCAGCCCAGGTGGGGCAAGCCCTGATTAGGGAGCAAAATATCATTAGTCATTTCTGAAAGCACTCATGGAGGCTTTTTGTCTTCTTTGGCTTTACTTTTATTCAAAATATTTTGCTTTTCATTGGGTGCCTGTGTTATTTTTATTTGGCAAGTGGTCTCGTTTATTTTATTTGAATATCCTTTGTGGCGGGCAATTTCTAAGCAGAGGGTCAGACTTGTCGTGGAGCAGAACTGAACGTGACACAGGGAAGTTTTATTTTCTCTCCCTCTGGTCTCTGATCCCCTTAATGAAAATGGGACCCACATGGATTTTAGAATTAAGAATATAACCAGAGACGGTAAGGGCATCAATACTGAGCAGGATTCATCGTTACCCATGATGACCCTTGGATGAAGTTTTAATCCAGCAAATACAAGCTGAATCTAGAAATGTTCTCTGGATGTCCGCCGGAGCAGGATCAGGCCTTCAAAATGACCGGGCTCTGGGGAAAGCGATAACCGCAGCCCTGGAGGCATCGCTTCCTCGGGCCCTCCCTCCCTGTCAGCATCCCCCGGGGGAGTCGGCCTCGGGAGCGCTGCCGCATCGCCGCTGCTCTTACGCACTTGTCCCACCTTACTTTAGGTTATTTTGTTAAGGCCGTGTTGTTGTTGGCGTCCAACTCGAGTGACTTTGAGGAAAGATTTTTTTTTTCTCTTTCCTCCTTACTTGAATGGCTCCTTTGAAAGGCAGCGCTTCTCCGTTTACATCCCTGCTGTCCGGATTGAATCAATCTTGCGGTCAGCTTCGGGAGGGGGAAAAAAAAGAAGAAAAAAGCCTCACAAAGAGGGAAAATTGACAGGTCCGACCAGTGGCGTGATTGATAGCGGTTGGAGAAGCGGGTGCGACATCGGGCTGCGCCGGGGCGATGCCGGCGCTCGCTGGGGAAATCCAGCAAAGCCTTTTTTCCCAGAACCCGGAGCAGACGGGCTTGGTGAGGGGTGGCCGTATGAACTTAATAATAGCAACACTGTTGGAACATAAAGCATCTGTCAAGAGCTAATATGATTAATTAGAGGTGTCTGTCTCTCTCCCTCTTTCCCCTCTCCCTCTCTGGGTAGGCAGGAGGGACCTGAAACCCAAAACCAGGGAGGGCGGAGGTGGGTCCGTGCCCTGGCGCTGGCCGGAGCGGACACCCAGCCGAAGCCCCCGGAAAGCTGGTTCCTCCCCACCAGCCCCAGCTCCGCTGCAAGCAATCGCCGTGCAACCTGCTATTGGCAAATGATACGCCTTCAGCCAGAGGTACATGAAGGAAAACACGAACATGTCAAACATCCAGAGTCATAAACGCGCCGGTGGCACCCCACGCCGTCAGAGGGACAGGTTACCGGGCTCTCAATCGCCGATTTGTTCCAGATAAGCCTTAATTTTAGCAGTGCAGCGATGACATCACCCCCGTGCACTACACACTCATCCCTCCGCTTTTCAGCACCCGACCCGGCAGATGGGTTCAGCGTGTGCAGGGCAACATACGGCTGCCTTGCGTTGCACGTGGAGCATCCTTCCAGCTCCTTGCCTTCCTTTCCTAAAGACGCCACGTTGCTTTTCTCCAGGCCAAAGCTTTTCAGTATTCGCCTCACCCCAGCCTCCAAAACTTTCTCCCATGACCCCCCCATCCCCACCCCTTTGCACATCTCTCCCCAAGCCCCCGTTCTCCCACCGGCTCCCAGCCCAGGGGAGCAGCTCCCCGTCCCACCATGACCCCGCAGCCGCCGCGCGCTGGACGTCACACCAGGCTGGGCGAGAGCTCCGAGATTTAACCTCAGCTCCTCATGGAAAGAGCCTGGCTGACCTCCGTGGGACGCTGGATTTCAGTCCCACCGCTGCTGACTGCGGAGCCCCGGGGGTTTGTGATTGTAATTCAAAGACGTCTGGAAAGGTAACTAGAAATAGGAAGTTAATTGTCAGGAAGCTTAATTAGTTATACAGCGGGCTGCAGCGTCACTGGCAAAAATTTAAGACTCTGCAAGCCAAAGAAAATAGAAAAGCTCTTAAAGAATGGAGTATTGTAGGTACGTAAGGGAATTGCCACTTTTTGTGGGACCCGGGTTAAGACCGGCCCCATTCGCCGCGTTGCAGGTGCACTGGACGCACAGCCGATGGCTGCGTGTTTATTGATGGGGTGAAACGATCAGTGGCCGTTTGGTCCCTACCCCAAGAACAGAAAATGCTCTGTGGCAGCCAGCGCTGCTGCTGTTAAAATAGTTGAAATGCTGGTGACTGCAATACATGCAAAATAAAAAAGTACGTATGCGACCTGCGCTGGCCCTTCAGGTTTGGGCGACACTGCTGTCCCACCAGCAACCCCAGCGCTGCCCCAGTTTGCACACGGGTTGTCTCTGGGGCCGGCAGAGACATCGAGCTGCCCCTGCAGGGAGACGGGGGCCTCGCTCTGCCCCACGTGGGTGAGCACCCCCAGGCAGGGCGCCGGCAGCCCTCGCCTTGTGTGCACTGGGGCGGGATGGGGCGCAGGGCCTGCACGCCGGGTGCTGGGTGCAGAGGGCAGGCTGGGCGCAGGGGCTGGGGAAGGTTTGGGTGCAGGGCAGGCAGGCTGGGTGCAGGAGCCATTGCAGCAGGGGTGCTGAGCTGCGCTGTACAAAGCTGTGCCAGGCTGAGTTTACCTAAGCCATGCCCTGCCAGCTGAGGCATGCCATGCCAAGTTGTGCCAGCAGTGCCATGCCATGCTAGCTGAGCTCTGCCATGCCATGCCATGCCAAGCTATGCCAGCCATGCCAGGCCAGCTGAACTGTGCCATGCCATGCCAGCTGAGCTGTGCCATACTGTGCCAAGTCATGCCAGCCATGCCATGCTCTGCCAGCTGTGCCATGCCATGCCAGCCAAGCTGTGCCATGCCAAGCTGTGCCACACTATGTCATGCCAGCTGAGCTGTGTCATGCCATGCCATGTCATGCCAGCCATGCCACGCTCTGCCAGCTGTGCCATGCCAGCCAAGCCATGCCATGCCATGCCATGCCAGCCAAGCCGTGCCATGCCATGCCA